TGTATGGAAGTCTCCATTTTTTTGTTTTTTGTTATATTGGGATCCATTTTGTAAATCTGATTATTAGATAATCTTCTATTTTAATGACTCATTGGTTTTTTTTTTGTTGTTTTTTTTGCGAAATACCTAATAAAGCCTCTATTTCTTTATGAAGACATTAACCCCAAAAGGACATAGATTGAATTTATTACTATATCTAGATATGCTTATTTTGGCAATTATTTCTAAATCCTAACTCCCACAAACACAGATGTATTATAGGGAATATTTACATTTATTTTCCAATTAGTATTCTTAAAAATTTACTAGAGCATTGTGATATCTTTCTTACCTCCTGCAATACCACTCCCCAAGTCCCTCATTATGTCAAAATAATGCTCAATGATGGAAGAAATCCAAAGAACAATCCAAAGAATTAGCATCTCAGTTATAATATTGCTGATATAAAAGAACTCTTGTCTCTGTTCATGAACATTCCTGGGCATGTACGGCTGGGATATTGCTAAGGAAATTCTCATTGAGTCTAATATTTAGAGAATATTCTGTTTCTATTTGTAATGAGTTGCACAAACACAAATTATGTTAGGGTACAAGCTTAAGGGGTTAGCAATGTTTTAAAAACAGTTGTCAAACTCATGTGAAACACCTGGTGAGATGTGAATTTTTTTGCTTGAAGAGTTCTTACATTAGTACTGCACAAATGTTAGGAAGTATAATCTTTTGTCTAAAAATTTGTACTGGATTGAAGTAAAATAATCATGGGTTATCTGTTATTAGGTTTAAGATATACATTTTTAGTTAATTTCTCTATTCATTTCTTGAACTGGAGATAAGATATTCACAGGAGCTTGGAATTCTATTAGTGGCTATATTAGTTATTAGTGTTGGGGCTTAGCTAGTTACATAAACTCTATGGGTCTTAGTTTTTCCATCTCCATAATAAAAGGATTAAATTATGTATTATGGAAAGCGTCTCCAGTTTTACAATGTGACCTTATCATGGGCCATGATAACATGATGGTTTGGGAGGATATATGGTGTCCAGGAGTACAATTCAATGTAATATAGACTGAAAATAAAAAGCTTGAATCAAGCAGAGATGCTATAGCTTTATACTTGGAGTAAGCTTTTCTTAACATTTGAAATCTTTAAAATGGCAACCCAAAATTTTTCTATAAATGTACTGGGAATGGAAAAAAGAGGGTTTTTGTATTTTTATTTTGTGCTTTTTTGAAGAGCTTTATTTTTTCTAACTATGCACATTTATTACATATTAAAAATGTCAACTGAGATTATTTGCATGGCCAAATTATAGGGCTTATTTTTGTTTTATTCTTTATACATTTCTATAGTTTTAAAAAATTAATATAACCTTTAAATCTCTTTCCTGAGAGATTTATATATTGCATGTAAAAAGTAGGGACATTAACTGGAGTGGTTTGGTGCCAAGACTCATAGAATGAAATCCAAGAATCTAGGATTCTCATTCTGTCTTCTCCATTTGCCCTCTGATCTCAGAAAGTTCTCGTAACTGCCTTTATTCTTTAATTTAACATCTTTATTAAGCACCTTTGCTGCTATGAACTTTTAGAGTTTCATATTTTTATGGGGAATATCAGAGAATAGATTATTATAACAATGTGATAAGCCACTCTTTACATTTTACTAACTACCTTTTTTTAATAAATCCTTGATCACAGATGGCATTAGCATTACTGATACTTCTTTTTTTGCAGTCTGATAGGGGATATCTATTTTCTTATTTTATTGTATGTATATTTGATTCTTAATATGGCATGGTTGAAAATCTTTTTCATAAGTTTATGATACACCTATCCTTTGTGTATGTGTGTGATTCTTAGGATTATGTCCTTTGTCCATAATCAAAACACACATGAGCACAGAGAAAGGAATGTTTACCTAACCCTATCTCTGTGGCGAGGGAAGGATCTTCTAGCTGAGTCTTGAGGGATGAGTAGAGATGGCAGTTTGTGGCTAAGGTGAGAAGAGCTATTATATCTCAGCTTGACGTCCAGTTTCTATACTCTGCTTTGTGATGCTGTGACTACTACTCTGAAAATTGCATTTTTTCTCTTGCCAGCTGGCTCCTTCCTGCTAGGTTTTGCCAGTGGGGAAGATGGAAGGACACTGGAAGGCAGAAGGAGAGACAGGATTTGAGTCTTTCTGTGTGCTTGCTATTACTCTGAGTCTTCTCAGTAAAATCCCTTTACCCTGGCAGCAGCATTTAGTTTCAGCCTCCAACTTGTGGTTTGTTTTTGTTTTTGTTTCATTGCAAGAATGTACCTCATTGTGATTCCTCAGAGGTACCAGCAGCAGCCTGGAAGTTTCTCCTCCTCAGAGGTCCTAGTTTCAACTCTGCCTCCTGCCACTGCCCACCCCTGCCAATCCCTGGTATACCAGCAAGATCAGGGTAGCACCCCTCCTTGTAGATCTGAGTCCATGGGTTTCCCCTACAAACTGCTAAATTCTGTAAACTCAAATCCGTTCAATCCCCTTCCCCTGGTACTTCCCAGGAAGCTGGTGATTTGGGCCTGTATGTTTGTTTTACCCTCCAATACCTATATAACATATTTTGAAATCTTCCTATTGAAATATCTAGTGTGATTTTGACTTAGTTGCTGGACCTTGACTGGTAAAGCATTATAGTAATTTCTGTGGTGATGAATGACATTCAGTTTTTACCTTTTGAGGTTGATGGATGGTATGGCAATTGGATTTCAAGTCCAGCAGGCATTTGAAAATAATAGAATAGAGCTCAAAAAAAGATGGTAAGAATGATCAATTTTCTCACTTATGTTAAACTGGGATTTTTATCACTTCTAGCTTTAAATTTTCTATACTTAAATATAGACATATAGAAATGTATGGGTTTTCTTTCATAAAGATGATTTTAGCCATAAAAATATCTGAACAGCTGACTGACTTCTGGACGTCTTCCGTTGTGGGGCAATCAGGAAAGTATAAAAACTCAGAGAAAAATTTTCAAGCTTCATGCTGTTTGTCAATTAAACTAGAAATTTTATGTGGCAATGTGGCCTCTAAAGTTTCTAGAGTGGTGGTAGAAGTGAAAATGTCCCCATTATTCTGAGTGGCTTGAGTGAAATTGGAGTGAAGATGCTAAATGCTGTTGCATCCCACAGCAGAAGAGCTTGGAGTGGACGAGCTATTGCGCATTATCACTCATTGAGAGGAGTCCTCCTTCCTTCTACCAGCTTTCACAAAAAGAAATCTAAATGCTACTGAAGAGTTCTAGACATTAGGCTAAAGCCCTATTAGATCCTGATAATGGAAGACCAAGAGAAAGATTGAAAAAAACAAAACAAAACACTACAAAAACCATATCATAGAATGATTAAATCATCAAAAACTTTCCAGTATACTTGAGACCTCTATTCCCTTATATTGTCATCTAGTTGAAGTGGTCATTGTAGCTAATAAGCTGACATGAGATGGTACTTTTGAAAGAGATATTGCCTTTGGGAAAGACTTCTATGTGTCTTTGTAAGGTGATAAGTTCAAGGGAAACCTAACTGAGGCACTCCAATGATTTCAAGGTAGTTTAAATGTAATAAAATAGGCGTGAAATGCTCTAATAAGTGCTCTTAAGTCAGACTTCCCCAGTCTGATATGTAGAGGTTTAAAGTAGAAAAACCTTTTTCAAATGCAACAAAACATGAGGCAAGATCAAGAGGAGTATACATAAAACCAGCCTGAGCATCATTTTAAAGTTTATAATGTGTTAAGATGATGAAGGAGCACATTATACCATTGTAACAGATTTTTTCATTTCTTTTCCTTCAGTTTGACCCTAACCTTCTTCCTCTTTTCAGTCTCTCTCATCGTTTCATAGTCATTTATTTGGCAGGGGATATTTCAAGTATTTTATACTGTTATAAAGAAAAAATCTATCAGTTTGTCTTTGAGATTCTAAATTCATATTTTATTTCCCATTACTTCTGATTCTTAAAGTGTGATTAATTTTTTTACATACAAAGGAATAAAAAAGGCTTAGCTATAGACAGAATCTATAAACCAGATCTTATAGCAGTTTGAACTTAAGCTCTAAGATATTGTAAAATGTTTTTATTTTATGAATTATTTCTTGTCTGAATTTTTTATTTAGTATCATGAGCTTCTCCCATTTTCCTAATCTTTTTAAGAAAATTATATGCAAACTAATGAATTGGAAACTCTAGGAACAACATCCTTGTCTTAAATATGAAGTTGCTATGGTATGAATGTCCACGTTCCTCTGAAATCCATATATTGAAGCCTAACTCCCAAGATGGTAATGTCGAGAGGTGGGACCTTTGGGAGACCCCCATGAATAAGATTAGTGCCCTTATAAAAGGGTTTGAGGGAGCCTGTTTGCCCCTTCTGCCATGTGAAGATGTCATTAGAAGATGCCATCTATGGCACAGGCCCTCACCAGACACAGAATCTACTGATGCCATGATCTTGGACTTCCTTCCAGAACTATGACAAGTAAATTTCTGTTGTTTATAAATCACTGAATCTAAGGTACTTTGTTATAGTAGCAGGAATAGACTAAGACAAATTGGTACTGAGAAGGGAGGCCCTGCTATAACAAATACCTAAAAATGTAGATGTGATTTTGGCACTGAGTAGTGGGCAGAGGCTGGAAGACTTTGGTGGAGCAAGCTAGAGAAAGCCTATATTACTGTAAATGGACTAAGAAATAATTTACTATGTGGTGCAATAAGGGCTTGTGGATCTCTAAACTATTTCTTCACTACTCATCACTGTTTTGCATTTTGAATTCGAGGCTCAGAAGGGATGTTTTAAAAAGGATTCCTTTACTCATTTGAAAATATGAAATATATTGATATTTTTTGATGTCTAGTTTTTGTTATTGGACTAGACACAATTATGGTGGACTGTCTGAGGAATGAACAGTTTGGCAGAGAGATAGATTATTCTAGAGCTGCTATAACCAGAAAATGTGTTTGTATTTACAGGTCAGATCAGTGCATTGGGTGTGGAGGCCTGGACAGAAGAAAATTACACATGGCAAGGTTCAGCAGTGAAAGAAATTACAAGGAGGAACAAGGTCCAAGTGGTTCATGATCTTGTTTGGAAATGTTGATCATATACATTCATTTTACATGGTTATTGATGAGCTTACCCAGACAATCAGAAGGAATGGCTTAGCCCTGATAGATCTTCTTGCCATGTGGTGCTTGAGTGACACTTTTTACCTCCATCCCAAAGTAAAGAAACTTGTCTAGAGAGAACTTCCAAGAGATACTTAGTGAAAGTAAGACTTGGATGGGGATTAGGAGAACTGATCTAATTTGTTCTTAGCTACCAACCAGCTGCTAGCTTAACAATCTGAGGAAAGTCGCTGTCATTATTTGTGATACAATTTTTTTTCCTTCACAAAATGAGAATTTAATTTTTAAAAAATCTGTTATCTTTGTAGCTAAAGCTTTTTGTGAAAAAGGATTAATAATATTTCATGAAACCTTTTGAAAAGTTAAAAGTTCTATACTGACCCAAAGCATTATTAATCAAGTAATTGACATTATTATTTAAGTTATTTTTAGCATTGTAGACTTTGATAACTCAGTAAAAGGAGTAACAACTTACTTGTCTTCCACTAAGAAGACATAATATAAACAAAGAAATTTTAAAAGACAACGTGACTATGTAAACATATGATGTGTAATATATATCATAGTAGTAATATAAACAAGTTCCAAGAAATTAAGGAAAAAACCTCTCTGTCCATGCAAGGTAATTATGATTACAAACTTGTTAAGTAGTTAAAATCATTTACTAATGTATCAGGTGATGACTAAGAGTTAACCACTGAAGTTACCAAAATGAAGATTATTTAAGATTTCTTCCTGTATGGAAATCACATTTGTAAACCTCTATGGTCTGGCTCTTGATGTATTAAAGGGAAGATAAAATAATATGCCAAAATAAAAAAAAAAAAAAACTGAAAAAAAAAAAAAAGAATATATAACATAATCTCCTTCCCTTTCATGATGAAAGGCTTCTTTAAATCCTACTTGAATAACAGATGCTGAAGAGTTAACTCTTCCTTTTTCTTTGCATTTCTTTGGTTATCCCAACCTCAGCACTTCTATCATACATAGATGCCTTTGGTTGATTATGCATATGGAAAGATAAGGAAGAAAGTACATTATTTTTTCAAACTATTAGCTGATTTTTATCTATCTGTTATAATCTCTATATATTCACCTAAATTATCTATTCACCAATATATCCATATCTACCTTCTGTTTATGTGGCTGTACTATATAGCAACACCCTATATTTGTATGCATACAAAAAGATATATCTGGAGTATTTTTCAGCAAACTTTTTTCTGGGTGGTGGGAGTTTGGAGATATTTTGCTTTCTTCCTGCACCTTTATGAGTTATTTGATTTCTTTTTACATTAAAAAATTATAAATTTTTACAAAAGACAATTTTCTTGGAAATGAACTAAAAAATATTTCCATTGGAAACATGAAATAATAACAATAGGGAATCCACCTCAAGACTAATATAATGAGAATTAAATGAATTATACACTTCAGTTGCTTCCCAATATCTACTGTGGGACATTGGTGTCACTGAGGTATATTATTATTTCAGTCTTTTTCTCCTCAACATATTTAGTAATTTGCTATTGTGCTGTTTTGCTGGCCTATAAATTGAAAATCCTAATGTATTTTTCTGAGATTGCTGGCAAATAATAGGTTTCCATAAAACAAATTTTGATCATGATTTGCAAAGTTATATGTGAAATAAGTTAGACTTTAGCAACCAAAGTGAGACAAAAAGAGCAATTTAGTAGAAGAGGAAGGTAATGTATATACAGTATAAAAATAATTCACAGATTAGGAAAGAATTCACAATCTAATCATAAAGTGGAAAAAATGAACATAAGTACAAATATTTTTTCCTACTCTGAACAATCCATTATTTTACTCATGTTGGCATGCATATATTTTGGCAAAATCTAAAAACAATAACCATTTATTGCAAATTTGCTAATAAACCAGACAAAACAAGACTATGAGTGCTCAAGACTGAAGTGCATCAGCATAATGGGATTCTCTGGAAAAAGTAAAAAACAATTAAGAAACAAGCACAGGGTCACTGTTGGGTTTCCCCCAAAGACTTTTTTTCCTCCCTTCTTTTCCTTTCTTTTCTTTTCTTTTCTTTTCTTTTCTTTTCTTTTCTTTTCTTTTCTTTTCTTTTCTTTTCTTTTCTTCTTTTCTTTTCTTTCTTTTTTTTTTTTTTGGTTGCAGTAATGATTATCAATGGGAAGGAACAAAGGAACAGAAATATTTGCAAACTAATTCTTTGGCTATAAGATTTTTGACTTACCCAATTCCAGATGCATGTTTAATATTCTCATTCTTTTATCTGGTTTTTCAGACTGTTTTATTTTTGTTCAAGTACTTTTATTTTCAATTCCCCATTTGTTTTCATAGCAGATGGGTAACTTTGCCACCTTAGATTAAATTCTTTGTTTTAAAACTTTCTTATAGTTACTAATTCCTTTATTAAATCATATCTTAAAGACGGAGCTGCTGCAACATGAAGTGATTTTGAATAAAGGGGTTGCAAATTCAAGCCAACTATTAAAGAAGTATTCCAACTAAGGCAGGTGTCTGTGCCTCCTTCATTTGCCTTTAGATATAAGAAATGGAAGCATAAAATACAATGGTCTCTTGGAGGGAAATGAGGATCTCGATTAACCCAAAATTCTCAGATTCACTGGCAATGGTCTAGTCTTAGAATGGATGAGAAGGTAAAGCCCCATCCTTTGTGGACTTCTTTCTCAGTATCTTGACTCTCTAGTCAATTGTTAAGTTTCATGTGAGGAACACAGTAATTATGTGTTACAATAAGCTGAAATTTTATACTGTTTTTACTCTGCTATTTAGAGATATTCTATAATTCTTTAATGTGGAGAGGAGACCTAGACTGCTGTTGTTTTATAAGAAGACTTAGTGAAAGTGCCTGGAATAGTGTCTGGGACATTGGAGATGCTCAAGAGTTGTTAATTTTCTTACCTTTTTTCCTACACTGAGAAAGTTAATACACATTGCTCACTTTGTTAATGCAAACCTAATGAATTTTCTGGGTCGTGATATTGAAAAGAGCCAAATATATACTCAGGAGGAAAAAGGAAGCTTTCTAATTCCTGAGCCATGAATTTCCCATTAACATTTTAATTCTTTAATCCATAGAGGAAGCTATGGCTGACTAATAATATAATAGAAAGTTTACTCATAAATCTTCTGAAAAATACAGTGTATGTATAATAAAGGTATGGTCATATTTTAAAAGTAAAATGAGAACTTGTTTTATGTATAACATCCTGTAGTGACATGAGACTTTAAAAATGTACAGTTAATTTTATTACCTCCTTATTAATTTTAAGGTGGACCTCTGGGTTAAAATGGCCAGATATAGTCATTAGGACCATGTTATGAAAAATGAAAGGGTAGAGCTCATGTTTTCGTCATTGCTATTTTAGGAACCACCAGAATTTCAAAGCTTTATTACTTAAATCTCCTTGTTTTTGTTTCTACAAAGTAACAAAGATATATCTAAAAACCAGTGTAAACTTCTACTTCTCTTTTTCTATTGTGTTCTAAATGTAAATGATTGCAAAGATGCTCTCTCTTTCTCTTATGTCATAAACATCAGCTCATACTTTAAGAATTAAAAAGGTACTGATGTATGAAGATGAAGAAAACATTATTGAAAAACTTCCTTAGAGAATGAAATTTATTGAAATAACAAAATATGATAGAGAAGGAAGATTCTGTTAAAAACTCGTGTAGCTGGTTTCAGATAACAATGCTATTTAAAGAAATCTTATTCATACTTCTCAGCCCACAGCATATATAAAATTAACAGTTAAATAAAGAACACAGAATGAAAAAAATGTTAAAAATATATCTCGATAAAATGTTCCTTTCCCCTGAAAAACTTGTAAATTAGCCATGGGAACCTCCTACTGGTGCGGAACTCTGTCTCTGAAAGTATACTGCTAGTCTTCACAGGAGCCTCCCACAGGTTTTGCATCTCATTTAAATTCCCTTACCCACACACCTTTCTCCTTATCATTCCTTCTCCTATTTGCTCAGCTGAATATCATAAGAAATTGATAAAGTAAATAGGTAAATATACATAAGAAAGAAAACAATAAATACCTGACAGAAGAAAAATAATTTCTATTGGAATTCTAATTTGGAGTTTCTGCATTTTATTGTCAGTTATCTTTGAGTCCCTTACTTGGTCCAAGTGTGGTCCTTGGACCAGTAACTTCACATCACCTCAGATTATGAGAGATACACAAAAATCTCAGGCTCCATCCATATGTACTAAATTAAAATCTTTTCATTTTAACAAGATCTCCAGGTGCTTCAAATGCCCAATAAAATTTTTTAAAAATTGATTTGGAAAAAAAAAAAAACTGTTCAGCCTACCCAGAAAATGATATCAAAACCTCTCATTCTTATGTTACTTGAGCCTAAGACTGAAATTACAGATAAGATTTATTTTTTAAAAAATGTTTCATCAGCTTTAATGTTTAAATTCAATAAAACTACCTTTTAATCTTACTAAAATGCTGTAGGCAATATAAACCATTGGACTAGGTCATTCAACTTTCAGTGTTTTTAAATTTTTCCACTTTAAGATACTGTCCTATTTCCTGTTTTCCATTAAATATCAGCCACTGGAGTCAGAGAAAGTTGTACCACTAGATTTCCCCATTTATATCACTCACAGCAGTATGGCGGGGCTAGAAAATTTAGGGTTTTTTAATCTTCTTACCTCTCCATTCACAATATCCAACAGCCAAATGCTTTTGTAGATGGTCTCTGATGTTTGTTTCCTTTACATTTCTCTGGTCACCAGTCTGGTCTCCTCCTAACAAAGAACTTGGCCTCCATCCAATCTCTACCTCTTTCACTGAGCTTCCTAAAACATCATTTTCCAATGTGTTTACAGGACAATCAGTTATATACCATATATATACATGTGTATA